CAGACGCTTTTGTAAATTTTAGAGGATGACACATGTTGAAATTGAAATTTTAAAAGTATATGATGGTAAATATCTTGATAGTATATAATATATTAATAAAAGTTAACTTTTCCTTTTTTTTTTAACAAAAAAAAATTAACTTTTCCTTTTGATATACAATAGTTTGGGTGTCATTTTCTTAAAATGTATTAGAGAAAAAAGTTTGTTGAAAAAAAGGTGTTAGTGAAATAGAAATCGATCAAAAGAAATAGGCCTCTACAGACCAAAGAAGCCCAACCAAGCAACGACGAAAGGAAGATCGAGCCAACCAGGRCTAGGTTCCGACCCCTGCTCGGCGTCGAGCAGGGCTCGGCCCATTTACCTGGCCCATCTTCCCTCCTCTCTCGTTGGTTGAGGTACCCCGATTCATGAGTCCCTGTGATCCAACAACAACTAATTAGAAACCTTTTATTTTATGCCAATAAACCTTTTATTTTATTTTATTTTTCTTTCCAATAGGGGTGTTAATAATAAATTTTATCTAATTATTAAGTTACTCGTCAATTTAAATAAAATGACAAAATTATATTTTTTGTCTGATCACAAATTTAATCATTCACAAGCATAATCGAAGACTACAAAACTTCAAAAATTGGATCTTCTCTTCATCAAACAAAAAGCAACTTCATCATATTGCACAATCTGAAAAACTTCATCAAGTTTAATAATCGAAAAACTTCAACAAGTTGTAAGTTAGAGAACTTTATCAAGATGCAAGTCGAAGACTTCACTAGGCTATGAATTTCATTAAACTACAAATCGAATAACTTCATCAAGCTACAAGTCTGGCGAGCATCAAAGAAGATTTTTGTTTCAAACAAGATAAAAAATTTTAAAAATTTTCTTAAATTTCAAATCGCAACCTTTTAACTTATTTTCTTTAACTACCGTTCTTTATGCCAAATGGAGGTTGAACTTCTTTTCAATATTTCGTCCTTAAATTCATTTTTTAACTGCACAGATGCATGAAAAATATTATTCTTGTTTGGAGAGAAAAAAACTCATAAAACTATAATATATATATAAATAACCCAAACTTATAGAAATCATTACAATGCAGGTAGGGATAACACCCGTTATGAAGCTCGAACAAATGCTAAAGAATAAAATCTTCAAATGTTAGATCCATGTTGAAATGGATTTATAATATAAATGAACTATTACGTAAATAAATGTCGAATATTTATAAATGAATTAAATTTATTCAACTTATCAATTTAAGCGAGTGGTAGTTTATTCGCGAGAGTTGTTGAATGATGAACTCGTGCTAGAATACTTCTTCCATTGAATCGAAGGTTTAGGAAAAAAATTCCCAAAGACAAGTTGGAGCCTTGGGAAAGAGGATTTTCAGTGAGTCCACCCATTGAAATTATTAAAAATTTTCGATTAATGCAAAATTAACAGAGTTATAATAATCGCCAACTGAGCATATTTTACTTAAAAAGAAATTATACAAATTTGAGTACTAGAGCATGAGATTCAACAGGTGGTTTTTTCAGGAAAAAACTGAAAAAAAGGATAAAAGTTGTGCCGTCTGCGTTCACAATTCACGTGAATAATTTTGAAAGACTAGAGAGTGCAGGAATTTCTATGTATGTTTGAAAGTTAAGAGCACAAATTGTTGATTCAGTTAGAACTTCGAATCTGTATCGATACAATCGCGAAATTAGAATGAGGAAGATCGTGACAGTTGCTCGATTGTGGTTGGCGGTGACGGCGGTGGCGGTGTCTTCGCCGGCCTTCACCAACGGTCATGTGACACCTCGCTCCGTACTTCACCAGTTGTCTTCAAGCAGCAAGGTCTTAAACCGGACGGAGCTTTGGTTTGATCAGACCCTCGATCACTTCTCTCCTTATGTAAAATCGCTCTCTCTTTCAGATTCCGTTTCAATTGGCTTTATCACATTCAATGACTGCTGAATTTGACTCGGGATAATTGTTCTGTGCATCGTGCCTACTTAGTTTGGCTCCTAGTTCTCCATTCAATCGGGTTTGTTTGAAATGTCTTCAGACCAATTGAATTTGAGGAAGAGTGGCCTAGGCTAAAGTTTTAACCTATAAGGATCGTATTTTTCAATTTTTGTATTTGTTAGTCGGTATGAAGATGATCTAGGGTAATTTATTGCAACGAAAACGAGAATTTTTTATTTGCTTCTTTTTGACCCCCCTACTAAATAATGTCATATATCAATTCATCTGTATTGAATTATACAGTCACTATACAACAGTAGCAATTTGTCATTAAATTCTTTTAGAATTTCTTGTACTTGTGAATTTAATGCTCACTAGTTCAATTTAATCCAATTATGCATACTCCTGGGTGCTAATATATGCAGAACCGCGCCAAGTTTCAGCAGCGCTATTATGAGTTCCTTGACTACTTCCGGGTATCAGATGGACCGATATTTTTAAAAATATGCGGTGAAGGCCCATGCTCTGGGATAAGCAATGATTATCTTGGTGTACGTTCAACAATATCTCCATTCATATCTGAAGAGATGTGTTTATGATTTTGTTTGTGTTGGAATGATAATATGAGGGTCGATCTGCAGACATGTTATTTATGGGTGGTTTACATTAATTAATGAAGTATTATAGTTCAGTTGGAAAGTATTCCTGGAGCTCGATTATTTATGACTCACGGTGGAATTTATCTAGAATTTGCTTCGCACTTTGGTGATTTTATTCTTCCTTCTGTATTTAAAAGTTCAGATACTCTTCAGTTCTAACGCCCGTTTATTCACAATTCGAGGAATGCAAAATGCACTTTTAACCACTTCCTGATCAAATATATATATATTTTTTTGTAAGAAACAATTTCATTAACGAGTGAAATTACAAAAAGGGGTGTGTAACCCCAAAATTATGAAGTGGTGAACGTTTGTTAAAATGTATATGAGAAAGGAGGGTGTCATGGATCTAGATCTCAGGGTGCTTATATGCATGTTTTGGTCACAATTATGATAGTGGTGGATGTTTGTACTTATGTCTAAGAAAGAAGGGTGTTGGTCATATAGATTTTAGAAGTGCTTGTATGCATGTATTGTTCAAAATTATGAACTTCGGTGAATATTTGTAAAATTGTACCTGAGAAAGGACGAGGGTGTTGTTAATATAGATTTTAGGAAAGCCTGCATGCATTTTTTGTTCACAATTGTGAAATAGTGGATTCTTGTAAAAATGTATCAGAGAAAGGAGGGTGTTCTTCATCTAGATTTTAGGAGTGCTTATAGATAGATAGATAGATATATAGAGAAGAGCAAGATAGAGAAAGTGAGAGAAGAATAAGAGAGAAATCTATCATCTTTTCAAGTTTCTTTTGTTACTCAAAGAGGTCATATCTATTTTTTCTTGCTCATTTATGTTATGCAGGTTTTGGCAAAGAAGTTCGGAGCAGCCATTGTTTCTCTTGAGCATCGTTACTATGGGAAGAGTTCCCCTTTCAAGTCATTAACGACAAATAACTTGAGATATCTTTCATCCAAGCAAGCTTTGTTTGATTTGGCTGTTTTCCGTCAGTATTACCAGGTAACTATTAGGCCAATTTATAACTATATCAGCAGTGAGAAGGTGAAGCTACTTCTCCTTCTCATTGGAAGAGTTGAAATATAGTTCATATTCAAATTCTGTTATTGAAAAATCAGATTGAATTACTTCTTTGTTTGCATGTGTTAAATGACCCGCAATCTAAAGTGAAATCATATCTTCTTTTGAAAAAAGAAAGGGAATTATAGAAAAGAAAAACATTGGATTTTCACACTTCACTACTGAAGGTATCATTTATTTCTTAACAATTAATGACTTCACTAGCATAGTGTTTTGGGTCCACAGTATGTTCAGTACATTACCATTCTGTTTTTGAGAATAGTCACTGCTTTACTTTTTTCTTGAATTGCATGTAAATTAATGCATGTCTGTTGGTTATCTACTTGCAGGATTCCTTAAATCTGAAGCTGAACAAAAAGGGTGAAAACCCGTGGTTCTTTTTTGGTGTCTCATATCCTGGAGCTCTTAGTGCATGGTTTCGACTTAAGTTCCCTCATTTAACATGTGGAAGTCTTGCAAGTTCTGCTGTTGTTCTTGCTGTCTATAACTTTACTGAATTTGACCAACAGGTGATTCAAATATGATGTTATTGGTTATATGCTTTCTGCTCTTTGATTCGACCACCTTCAGGTTATGTGCAAGAATAACATTCTAGTCTCTCGAACTTTTTTTAAATGTGTTCCTTTGAACATTATCCTGTGTTGTCTTGTATATGAAGATTGGCGAGTCTGCTGGTCCGGAGTGCAAGGCTGCTTTACAAGAAACCAATCGACTTATTGAACAAAAGTTTGCAAAGAACAGATACGAAGTGAAGGCATTGTTTGGTGCGGCAGAGGTTGACTTTACATTTAATCATCTATAACAGTTATATTGGCAGTCTTCATATTTGATTGCTGATATCTAGCCTGTGTTTGCAGCTGGAAATAGATGGAGATTTCTTTTATTTACTAGCGGATGCGGCTGTCATAGCGGTAATTTTCAGTTTTGGATGCCTTAATGTAAGATTTTTAAATTTTCAGTATTGGTTATCTTTATTTGTAAAAAATGTGCAGTTTCAATATGGAAATCCAGATACATTGTGCTCTCCTCTTGTTGAAGCAAAGAATGCGGGAAATGACTTAGTGGTATTGATGTCTTTCTTCTCAGTTCTAACTTTATTTGCTTATTGCGTGTTTTGTTTCCCAATGAAAATGGAGGACATATATTACACTTTAAAAATTAGGATGTGCAGCAGGAATTGGATAAAAACTAAAATTTTAGAGGTAATGAAGTGCAGCAATTAGATGTCCAATATCAATAAGCCTTGAAAAGAAGCCACGAAATGAACCTTGTGCCACTCTAAAATTAGCTTTTCACTTTTCCCTCAGAAATTTTGCCATTCATTTCCTTGATGAAGTGCAATTAAACATCCCATCCTTCAAAGTCAAGAATTAAGGAACATAATGAACTCTTTATAAAGTTTAACGCACAACACGTAGCCAGAAAGTGGACCTTGTGCCACTCCAAAAATGTATCTTCCACTCTTTCATCAGAAACTTATTATTTTCCTCTCCTTCCGTATACAACCATTGAATAACCATGATGGTGCAATATAAAATAGTTCTGTTCCTTCATTTCTTTTACAACATGCAAAATCTTCCAGTGAYGGTTTACGATAGTTTCTCAAATTTAGTCCTTGATATACCTGTTTCTTTCCCCAAACATCCTTATCAAACTCTGTTCCTATCACACAATATAAATTTCCCTTCTATCCCTCCTAGCATTGGTGCCAAATGTGGGCGGTCTATATTTATTGAAAAGGAAACTTGTTGCTTGATGATTTTAACCAAAAAGTTGGGCAAAAGATATCAAACAAGTTATCCTTCAACAAATCAGAAAATCAACCCAATGATCCCCCATATCCCTGCTATAGAGCATTGTCCTCTCAGAGGACCTGTTTCGAGGATAATCTACGGATTTCTTCTTTGTTAACATGCATGTTCGCACATACATACAGGTTATATTATCATTTTTTTTTCTAAGATATCTTACACTTTGAGTGCCACATATTTTCTCCTGCAGGATGCCTATGCCAAATATGTTAAAGATTATTACCTTGGAAGTTTCGGTACTAATGTTCAGACTTACAATCAGAAACACTTAAAAAACACCACACTGGGTGAAGATAGTGCTGACCGGTTGTGGTGGTTTCAAGTTTGTACTGAAGTTGCATATTTCCAGGTTGCACAGGCAAATGATAGCATTCGATCCTCCAAAGTCGATGCAAAGTATTCTTCCGGTCTCCTCTTCATGGATTCCATGCTTTTCATCAGTGATTTTCTATCACATTTCCACTGTTCTCTTTTTTGTTGCGATGTATAAATAGCTAACGTAATGACAGATATCATCTGGATCTCTGCAAGAATGTTTTTGGAGAGGGCATCTATCCTGATGTAGCCACCACAAATATTTATTATGGAGGCACAAAAATTGCTGGTGCGTACCTGGACTTCTTCTCTGGCCACCTCTACTTCAGTTTATTATACAATGGATTCTATGCTCTTATGTTTGAGAAGTCAGTCACCTTAGCCTCATCCCTGTAATTCATTATTTTTCTTAGTGTAATTCAAATCAAAGCACTCTATGGCCAGTTCAACATAATATGCAAAGCTTTTTACGTGTGGATAAGCTGAACCTTTCAGTAGCCAACTGCTCGTTTTGCCGTAAATAAGGGCAATGACACTGTTTCCGGTCTTATTTTTCATGTCTCATGAAAACAAAATTTGCTTTTGCAGGTTCAAAAATAGTTTTTATAAATAGCTCGCAGGACCCTTGGCGCCATGCATCAAAGCAAATATCATCTCCAGACAGTGAGTTTTTGAATTCTTTTGACCGCAATACTCGGTGATCTTAGGCTAGGTTAATTACTCTTGATTGCTTTGTGTGTTTTCCTGGTAGAGTTGGCATCTAAAGATTTTCATCGATTTTGTTAAATAATACAAAAAAGATTTTACGTAATGAACATGCCGTTATAATTTAAACTAGTGCTGATATTGGATTTATTCGGGACATTCATTCATCATGTTATTTACAATTCCTCTTTCTTTTTTCCGTTCTTACTTTTTTTTTTCTTTCTCAAAACTCAGTGCCATCGTACCTCATAACATGTCACAATTGTGGCCATGGAACTGATTTGCGAGGATGTCCTCAATCTCAACTAAATATCGAAGGTATGTAAAGATCTACCGTTATATCCTACTCTTCCTTCCGCACATATGAAATTGAATTTGATCAAGCATTGGGTTTTCTGGGAGTCAATCTCCATAGACATCCAACCTCTTTGGGGTAGGAGGAAGAAGAGGCCATTAGTCCAATGCCACACCGACGATCCTAAATCAATCAAATGTTTTCTTATATGAAAATTTGACTTTCAAACTTATGGTGCAAATGTGAACCCTATAATTCACTTTAAAAAGGCATTCCCACCCGGTTGGATCAAGTTTTGCACCTATCTTTATCTTTTTGAGGCAGTTTGGACATGGTCATTGCTTGCTCTATTCCCCACATTTAATTCTAACCATTATTTTTAGAATGCTTAAATTCAGACTCATTTTTTTAGAATGCTTACTGAACCCGTGACAGATACTATCAATACTCCCTTGTGGGCTCACTATTATCAATTGAAGTAAAAATGACATTGTAGCGATTTGAATCCAGAATCAATCTCCTATTTCGATATTATGTTAAAACTCTACTAAAAAACTCAAGCGGATAAATTTTTAAATGATATATTTAATCTTTTATATATATTATTAATGCCTAACGGTAGGGTCATATAAGAGGGAACTGAACCAAATCTATAAAAAAATATACTTGTTCATTTCCATTTTTTTGCTACATTGCATCATCTGAATCTGATCTCTCTGTTTCCCTCTTCAGGTGATGCTCAGAACTGTTCCTCCCCTGATGCAGTTCAGAAAGTTAGGCAGCAGTTAGTGGAAAAGATGGACCTTTGGCTGTCAGAGTGCAGCCAACCCACAACTGGTAGGCAATATGTTTGAAGCTCAACGGCCAAGCCCTCATGCTTGACTATGGCTGCTAAATTACATTTTTTCTAATCATAATCTGTATGTATTATCCTTAAAACAGATGGTTAATTGCTCCATTGAGGACATATCATCCTACATTGCTCACTCTTGATGCAACCGAGTATCACAGACTGTGTGCATTTGTGTAATTTTCTTAGCATATTTAAATAGTACGTAGAATTTTATACAATCATATTTCCCTTTTCTGTGCACTAGTTATTTGATATTTGTAATGTGTGATCTGATAATTTTGTTAACCAATTATGAACCATTAGAAATCTAATCTTATACTTTGCTTTTCATAGAATCATTTTATGTTTATTCTATACATTTTATAAATTAAAATTCATGTTGTGATATGATAGAGTTAATAAGAGAATGTACGAAGCAATTGCCGATCACATTTGTAACTGATATCCCATTTTGGTCTCGAACTTTAATGTGTATTTTAGTAAGGTTCACCGTTGTGATGCATGTGAGAATTCACTTCGTATAGAGGTCTTTTCTTTGTTTTTGGTATTTGTAAGCTCTATCATATAGTGTGATTCGGGATGATAGGGTTATTTTGTGTTAAACAATAGGTTTAGAAGCCTAACTTTTACTTAATATTCTCTTTTTCTGTGTGTTATCCTTTGATTAAAATGCTGTCATGCAGCTCTCATTTGTAACATGCATTGTGCTACGATATCATGAACTGACATTAATCAAAGAGAAGTGACATATGGTGTGTGTAATATGTGTTTTTTTAGTACAACAAGGGGGGTGGTGGTGGGGGATCGAACTAACAACCTCGACATCTTTTTTAATATATTGGTAAGTTTACCAACTAAATATTTAGTTTAATCTAAAATATTATTAATTAGTATTTTACAATCCCGGATTGGGGTAGAATTTATTGCTATCTGAGACAGGATTGTGCAATCTCGGGTCAGGATTCTTGTAATTTCGTTCTTTTTTTTTAAATTTTTTGTATGAACGTTGATGAGGTTTCTGCTAAGGTAGAAAATTGCTCCACCTCTCGAGCGACTTTCAGTAAGACTTATCTCTCTCTCTCGAAGTATCGGTTTATTCTCTTGTACATGTTTTGGTCTCATTCTGCTAGGCTAATTTCGAGTTTTCGCTGAATTTACTCATCAATCAATTCGACCTTCTGCTTTTGGTTTGGTTATTGGAGATTTTTGGTGTATTCTGTTAGTTATTGGAGAATTTTTAATAGATTTTGTCTTGTATTGTTAATCTCAATTCGTAATTGATTCTTAAATTAAAATGTTAGATTTTTTTTTTTTCATATTTGAGAATGAGTTACAAATAAAATTTTTTTTTAGGAAACGGTCAAAATTTAAAAACCCCAAATTTTCAAAATTAAAATGAGGAGAGTTACAAATAAGAATTTTGAGAAAATGAGTCAAAAGTTTGAATGCAATTAAAAAGGGATCCAAAATCCCAACTTTCAACTGAACTCGTGAATTTAACAAATGTAATTTAACCAATACTTTCTCTTACGATACGCCGACCATGTCTCTCAGCCAGTTAAGTCACATGTATTCGGTGAAAGTTGGACACAAATGGATACAAGAAGAGGGAAGGACAAAATCAGCATGCACATCGATAATTTCGTGGAGGAGAGCAAGAATATATATACATATCTATGTGCTTGTTTGGATGAGAAACTCACAATTTGTTATTTCAGTTGGAAATGGTGTCGATACCATCAAGAATGGGGAAGGCCGTGGCGGTTGCTCGGCTGTGGTTGCTGGTGACGGCGGTGGCGGTTTCCTCGTCGCCCTTCGTAAACGCCCATTTGATGCTTCAGCGATTGTCTACAACTACAAGCAGCAAGTTCTTAACCCAGAAGGAGTTTTGGTTTCCCCAGACGCTCGATCACTTCTCTCCATATGTAAAATCGCCTTCTCTGTCAAGTCTTAGTTTCTATTTCGATTGGGCTTCGTCACATTACTACGGATAGTTGTTCTGTGTACTGTACTTAGCTTGATTCAAGTTTGTTTGAAATGAACTGGAGGAATTCACTATATACTTCAAATAAGTGGTGTTAGCTTAAGTTTTGACCTGTAAGGAACATATCTTTCAATTTCTGTATTTTTACAATTTAATCAATTTACTCATCTTGGGTGCAGAACCGCAATAAGTTTCAGCAGCGCTATTTTGAATTCCTTGACCACTTTCGGTTACCAGATGGACCGATATTTTTAAAAATCTGTGGTGAAGGCACATGCAATGGGATAGCCAACGATTACCTAACAGTAAGTTCCACAATATCTCCAATCATATCTGAAGTGACGTGTTTATAATTTCTGTTGGAATGATAATTCAGGGTTGATCTGCAGACGTGGTATTTGTGGGTGGTTTACATAATTAATAGAGAATTCTAGTTCAGTTGGAGTGTATTACACTGGCAGCCAAGGAGATGTAGATTTTGCAGTCAGATACTCGTATGACGCTAGGAGCTTGACTATTTATGACTCAGGGTGGAGTTTTCTAGAATTTTCTTCCCTTTTTGGTGATTTTGTTCTTTGTTTTCTCTTAAAATAATCCACTCCGGTGCCAGAGTCTGTTTATTGCAATTCGAAGAGTGTAAAATGCACTTTCAACCTCATCCTGTTCAAAATTATGAACTGGTGAATGTTTGTAGAAATGTGCCAGAGAAAGGAGGGTGTTTTTCGTGTATATTTTTGGAGTCCTTGTATGCGTGTCTTGTTCAAAATTATTAACTGTGCTTGTATAAATGTACCAGAGAAAGGAGAGTGTTTTTCGTGTAGATTTTAGGAGTCCTTGTACGCATGTCTTGTTCAAAATTATGAACTGTGCTTGTAGAAATGTCCTAGAGAAAAGGAGGAGGGTGTTGTTCGTATAGATTTTAGGAGTGCTTGTAGATAGATATAGAGTAAGATAGAGAGAAAGTGAGTGAGTGAGAGAAGATTAAGAGAGAAATCTATCATCTTTTCAAGTTTCTTATGTTACTCGAAGAAGTCATCTCTTTTCTTTTTCCTGCTTATTTATGTTATGCAGGTTTTGGCAAAGAAGTTCGGAGCAGCCATTGTTTCTCTTGAGCATCGCTACTATGGGAAGAGTTCCCCTTTCAAGTCATTGACAACAAATAACTTGAGATATCTTTCATCCAAGCAAGCTTTGTTTGATTTGGCTGCTTTCCGTCAGTATTACCAGGTAACTATTAATCCAATTTATCACTATATCATCAATTAGAAGGTAAAGCTCTTTTTCCTTCTCCTAATTACGTGATTTAAAAATCAGATTGAGTTACTTATTTGTTTGCATGTGTCAAACGACTCGTAATCTAAAGTGAAACTATATCTTCTTTTGAAATTAAAGGGAATAATAGAAAGGAAAGAAAAACATGAAATTGGATTGCACACTTCACTACTGAAGGCATCATTTATTTCTTAACAACAAATGACTTCACTGGCCTAGTGTTTTGCGTCCACATGCATTTTAAGCACATTACATTCTGTTATTGAGAATAGTAGTTGATTTATTTTTTGCTCAAATCGTATGTAAATTGATGCTTTTCTGTTGGTGATATACTTGCAGGATTCCTTAAATCTTAAGCTGAACAAAAAGGGTGAAAATATGTGGTTCTTTTTTGGCGTCTCATATCCTGGAGCTCTTAGTGCATGGTTTCGACTTAAGTTCCCTCACTTAACTTGTGGAAGTCTCGCAAGTTCTGCAGTCGTTCTTGCTGTCTATAACTTCACTGAATTTGACCAACAGGTGTCAAATTATGATGTTTTTGGTTACAATATTCTTGCCTTTTGATTCGATCACCATTATATTCTGTGCAAGAATAACATCCTGTGTTGTCAAATATATTATGCAGGTTGGCGAGTCTGCTGGTCCAAAGTGCAAGGCTGCTTTACAAGAAACTAATCGACTTGTTGAACAAAGGTTTGTAACAAACAAAAAAGAAGTGAAGGCATTGTTTGGTGCAGCAGAGGTTTACCTTCCATTTAATCATCTATAATAGTACACTGTATTTTCAGTCTCATATTTGGCTGCTGATATCTAGCCTGTGTTCGCAGATGGAAATAGATGGAGATTTCTTTTATTTCCTGGCAGATGCTGCTGTTATGGCGGTAATTTTCAATTTTTTAAGCCTTTTTGTAAGAAATTTCAATTCTCGTTGTTGGTTATCTTTATTTGATAAAACTGTGCAGTTTCAGTATGGAAATCCAGATAGATTGTGCTCTCCTCTTGTTGAAGCAAAGAATGCTGGAAATGATTTAGTGGTATGGCTTCCTTTATTCTTAGTTCTCACCTATATGCTTTATTTGTTTATAGTGTGTTTTGTTTCCTTATAATAATGGAGGAAATATATTACGTATTAGAAGTAAGAATGAGCAATAAATTGGACAAGAACTAAAATTTTAGAGGTAACAAAGTGCAATTAGATGTCAATCCTTAAAAATCAAGAAGGAATATTATGAAATTCTTTTATAATAAGCCTAAAAAAGAAGCCAGGAAATGAACCATTGTGTGTTATCTAGCATAAGCAAAACCATGGCCACGATCTTCCTGAGGTGTTTAAATGTACTCTCCATCCCAGGTAAAGTGTTGCATCTCAAACTGCTACTTGGAGACTCCTGCACATGCCTCCGTTTTCTTCTCTGCCATTGGGACTTACTGCTCTACTACCAAATAATTTGTTTTCAGGCTAACAGTACAATATTATTTTTTTAAAAAAAAGAAAAGAAACGAGTTTAAAGTACAAGAAAAGTGATGGCCTTTCGAAGGGGCCATCTCTCTCCCAATTTAGTTATTAACTTCTGCTTGCCTATCACTAACCTTGATATACTCGTTTCTATCCCCAGACATCCATCAAACTCTGTTCCCCTCCCCCAATAAATTCCCCTGTTTATCCCTCCTAGCATAGGTGAAATTTTTGGTTGGTCTATAGAAAATTGTTGCTTGAAGGCTTAACCTAAAGTTGAGCCAAACGTATCCATTAAGTTTTAAGGATAATCTACTCGTTTCTTCTCTGTTCAAAACATGCATGCTTGCACATAACATACAGGTTATATTTATAAACTTTTTCTCAGAAACCTTACACTTTGAATCACACATATTTCCTCTTGCAGGATGCCTATGCCAAATATGTTAAAGATTATTTCATCGGAAGTTTTGGTACTAATGTTAAGACTTACAATCAGAAACACTTAAAAAACACCACTCCAGGTGGAGATAGTGCTGACAGGTTGTGGTGGTTTCAAGTTTGCACCGAAGTTGCATATTTCCAGGTTTCACCAGCAAATGATAGCATTCGATCCTCCAAAGTTGATACAAAGTATCCTTCTAATCTCCTCTTCATGGATTCCATGCTTTTAGCAGTGAATTCCTATCACATTTCCGTGTACTGTTTTTTCTGCTGTGATTTATGAATAGCTCACATAATGACAGATATCATCTGGATCTCTGCAAGAATGTTTTTGGAGAGGGAATTTATCCTGATGTAGCTGCCACAAATATTTACTATGGAGGCACAAGAATTGCTGGTGCGTACTTGGGATTCTTTTCTTGGCGATGACACAGTTCAGTCTTATTTTACATGTCTTATGAAAAAATAATTTCTTTTGCAGGTTCAAAAATATTTTTTACAAATGGTTTGCAGGATCCTTGGCGCCATGCATCCAAGCAAGAATCATCTCCAGACAGTGAGTTTTGAATTATTTTGACCCTTAATACTCATTCCTTTAGGTTATGTGAACTTTCCAGCCCTGAAGTGATCTTAGGCCAGGTTAATTACTCTGAATTGCTTTGTGGGTGTGCCTGGTAGACCTTTTGCTGCATCTAAAGATTTTCATTGATTTTTTAAAATTATATCAAAAAAGATTTTACGTAAATGAATGCCATTGTAATTTGAAGTAGTGCTGATACTGAATTTGTTAGGCCTATCATTCACAATGTTATTTACAATTTCTTACCTTTTTTTAATATATAGTTTTAATCTTAACTCAGTGCCATCGTTCCTCATAACATGTCACAACTGTGGCCATGGAACTGATTTGCGAGGATGTCCTCAATCGCCACTAAATATTGAAGGTATGTAGTTCTAGCGGTCGACTCACTTCTTTCAAATTATTTCTCATTATTAAGAAAAGATCTACTGTTATGCTCCTCTTCCCTCTGTATACAAATCATCAAATCGAATTTCGAGCATTGAGATTTCTGGAAGTCAATCTCCATTCTCCATCTCACTATACCTCCAACCTTTATGGGAGTGGAGGAAGAGGGAGGCCATTAATCCAATGCCAGGTTGACGATCCTAAGTAAATCAAATGTTTGTTTATATGAATTTTGACTTCTAAATTTATGGTGCAAATGTGAAGCCCAAAATGCACTTTGAAAAAGCCTCTCTTTTTTCCTCTACTGTTGGATCAAGTTTTGCATGCATTTTTCTGCACTTGCATCTTATCTTTATCGTTCTGAAGTGGCCACGTATTTGGTATTTGGATCCTCAAAGACTACATTAGTTTTGAATCGTCCAACAGCCTGCTCTTTCAAGCAGTACTCTCTCTCTTGGGGTTTTTGTGGGAGAGAGAAAAGATATGGTAGCCAATAGGTACCCTTTACTTATTTAGAGATATCCCAATTCCCAAGTAGGAATTACAAACTATTAAGCTAATGACCAATTCAAGAGGATCATCAATTTCTCCCCACCATTTACGGACTCTACACCAGAAGATAATGCTTTATCTCCCTCTCCCTCTCCTCTTATGAAATATTATGTATTTCGGTTGCTTCTCTTAGGTATTTAAATTCCAAGAAACCCCTTTTATTAGATTCCTTGAGATTTGGTTTCTAAGCTACAACGTTCGACCGTTTGATGTCACTCCTTTATTAGTTGCTATTATTAATTTCTAATGGTCAGTATCCATTCCCTGCTTTTCTTTTCGGCCAACATTTTGTCATCTACACATTCGAGTACTTATACTCCCCTAAGGTTTAGACAACTCAAGTAAAATCTATCGGTCACTATACCTTTTTAAGGTTAAACGTTCGACCTCTCACCCAATATTTGTTGGGCTAAAAAAACACTCTTTGGTCGGAATAAACTTGGGAGTATGTGACTGAATGCGATATATTATTAACCCTCCTCTCCACATGTAGATTTAGATATTAATAGGTTCGAAATGACATTGTAGGAAGTTTAATTTAGGACTTTCTACTCCAACACCATGTGAAATTACAACTAAATCTAAAACATAAAAATTTAAGTGGGTACGTTAGAATGTATTTAATCTTTTATATACATTATTAACAATAGATGAACACTAATCATCTAAACAAAACAAACCGAACCGAACCTACATACAATACAGTCTATTTATTCCTCCCTGCCATTTGTTGCCATATTATATCCTCTTTATCTGATCTTTCTCTCCCCCTTCAGGTGATGCTCATAACTGTACCTCCCCTGATGCAGTTCAGAAAGTTAGGCAGCAGTTAGTGGAAAAGATAGACCTTTGGTTATCAGAGTGTAGCCAACCCAAAACTGGTAGGCAATATGTATGAAGCTCAACAACGAAGCCCTCAAGCTCAACTCTGACTGCTAATCACACTTTGTCTTAATCATAATCTGTATGTATTAAGGGTCAGGCGAGGCCCGGACAACAACGAAGCTCTCAAGTTCGGGTTTCAACTCCATGAAATTAGTCGAGGTACACGTAAGTTGGTCTGGACACTCACAGATAT